GGGATCTTCATCTTGCTCATGCAGAGATCGCTTATAACCACGCTATTTCTCCCGCCACCGGCATGTCCCCCTACTACTGTGACCTGGGATATCACTTCCGTGTCCCATCTGATCTCCTCCGTCTATCTCAAATTCACCCTGACACCAAATGCCCAGCTCTCGATGAGTGGGTAAAGGAGATGGATGCGCTCCTTAGCAAGGCTCGAGAGAGCATTGCTCACTCCCAGACTCGCATGGCAACCCGCGCCAACCGCTCACGCATTGACCATCCCTTCAAAGTTGGCGACGAGGTCCTTGTCGACGCACATCACTTCCAGCCCGAAGCCGACACGCTTCGGAAATTCAGACGTCGATATATCGGACCATGCACCATTCTCGCACCCGCCGGACCCAACCATGACTGTCCAGTGAGCTTCAAATTGAAGCTCCCCGATTCCATGTATCGCGCTAACCTACATGATGTGTTTCATGTATCTCTTTTGCGCCCTTTCAGACGGTCTCCTCCCGAGTTTCACGGTCGACCTTACCCTCGCCCTTCTCCCATCATCATTGAAGGTCACGAGGAGTTTGTCGTCTCTGATATTGCGTCTCGGCGTATGACTGATGGTGATCCTCCCCDMCTYVAGTATCTCGTTCGATGGAAGGGTTACCCTGAYGAGGAGTCTACGTGGRAGCCTCTTGAGCACCTGAAGCATGCTATGACTTTTGTGCGTGCTTACGACCGTGCTCACCCTTTCCCTTCATCATCATCCCCCCCCACTTCTCGTCCTTCTACTGACCCATCTACTTCAGCGACCACTAACACCCCCCCTCCTCCACCGATGGGTCCTCCTGCTCCACCGGTACCTGCCTCAGGTCCTCCTTCCCCTGTGGATGTGGTTTCGCCTGTTGTTGTAGTTGAGTCCTCTCGCCTTCAGCGTACCCATCGACTTCCTTCTCGATATCGTGACTGACCTTACCCCCCATATGCCCTCTATCTCTTACCATTCCTGGACACTTACGCAGCAGCTCCCGGTTTCGACTTCTACATTCGACTTTCGACCTCGGTGCTTCTTTTCAGTACCAAAGTACATGTCGCGTTGTTCCGGACGTCCACTTGGTTTTTTGCATTACTCCTACTTCATCCTGGGTACTTCGATTCGACTTCAGTCTGGAGACTCATCAGTTAGACTACTTCACTTCTTCGGCTACAGAGTTCTCATCATCCCCCTGTATCCTGACCCTCAAGTCGCATGATGACCCCTATTTCCTCTGTCTATGTGGGTGTGTCCGCTTGCCGCCCTTCTGCCTTACCTTATGCTGCGCGCCCTCCTCTGGAGTGTACGTTTTCTTTGCTCGCGGCTCTTGGGGCCACATGTCTATGCCGGCATAGCCCTCTCTCCTGCCAGGCTCACCTTATGCGTGCTCCCTTGTGAGAGTGCCATTCCCCTTTCAGCTCGCGGTGCCCGTTTGATGGTTTCCATTGAGCCCGGTGTCGTGCTGTTATTCCCCCCCCCTGAGCCTGATGACCCTTACCTGGTTGTGCGAGTGCCCCCTTGGAGTTTACTCTAAGAGTTGTATCCGCCGCCTCCCCACCTATTCCTACCTCTGCCATGCGACTGAGTCCCTTCCTCTTCTGTTCAGGCATTGTGCATTGTGTACAGGGCACGTGAGATTGTGCCACATTCTTTTCGACGTAGGACATTGGCTTAGATATTCTTTGGCCTTTAGGGCCCTAGTGTTGATTTATATTCAGCCTACTTGGCTCATGAGACATTTTTCTCTTTCTTGGCCGACACCGGTCAGACATTTTTCTCCTTCTTGGCCGACACAGGTCAGACATTTTTCTCTTTCTTGGCCGACACAGGTCAGACATTTTTCTGCTTTTTGGGTCGACTCAGACCAGAAATTGTTGTATAGATTAGGCTTGAGGCTTAGTCTGCATTGCATCCCTTTTTCCTGCATGGAGCTTGCTCCACATTTAGGATTGTTTTTCTTTGGCCGTTCCTTTTGGGTTCCCGCTCTTTCAGCGGATAGCTTGTTTTGATGTATCTCTGGATCCATTTACAGGTCCGAGGATCGTGGAGCGGTATCCCTCCGACCCGGCAGTGAGTCCAGACCAGTTTCAGGCCGCTGGCCTGACCCTGGTCCGGTACCAGGATATTCCGCTACTTGACCCAGGCCGGTATATCACTTCGGCCTAGGTCCAGGGCGGCAGGTTCATTCATTCAGTGCTTGGTTCATTCATGGCCCAGATTGGACCCTCACTCAGCTGCTGCTCTCATGTGTGTCCATCTCCTYTCTCTCTCTCTCTCCATCTCCGCACGTGCCCTCCGCACGTGCGCCACAGAAACCAAACTACGGAGGGGGCAAAAGTCGCAATCACGTACAAGATGGAGCACTGCAGGGACCCTCCAAAGCCCGCCCTCTCCATCGTTCTCCCGAAGGAGATGCACGGGCACCATGAGGTGAGACAGCAGAGGCAATAACCGTCCACATCTCCTGCAGGATGACACCATTCGCACAATCCCCCTGCCCATCGCCTTCTGTTGCCCGCAGGCGCTATCTGTTCTTGCTGCTGCGCTGTTTCCGGGCCGGTGGGGTTCGATCCTTGGAAGCCATAGCTTGCTTGAGGTTGTGGTCGGTAGCCCGCTGCTTGCCCTGCAGTGCCTGCATCAGTCGAGTGTGGAGGGTGAACACCATAGTTGGGTTCAGGTGGAGGTTGAGGATAGGCCCCTTGAGGATAGGCCCCTCCTCCTTGCTGTGGACGGGGGGGTGGGAAGCCGCCCTCCCCTGGGGCGCCTGATTGATAAGCTGATGTTCCTTGGGAAGAGCCAGGGGCCGGCACAAATCCGGTTGGGACGAAAATCCCCGTCATGGGATCCAGAGCTGGAACGAGAGGCACATCCGTAGAAGAGTAGGGAGGTGCTGAAGACATAGCCACTGGAATGAGAGGATCCCATTCGGGAGGAGGCTTGCCGTAGCTATGATCTTCAGCTTGATAAGTTTTGGGGTTTGACATCTTGATGGATCACGTGCGACTCGCTCACCCACTTCCCCCTCCCTTTCTTCCTTTCCCCCGTCCCACTCAACCCGGCAAGTCGTTGATCTTTTGCGTGCACATGTGTAGCCGTCTGTTTGTCCTGTCCTCTCAAGCGCCTTCGACCTTTCGCTCTTTCAAACGGGGTGACTTCTCTCTCTCTCTCTCTCTCTCTCTCTCTCTCTCTCTCTCTCTCTCTCTCTCTCTCTCTCTCTCTCTCTCTGTGAGACCTTCAGCTCTTTTAAACCATATCTCTCTCTCTCTCTCTCTCTCTCTCTCTCTCTCTCTCTCTCTCTCTCTCTGTGTGTGTGTGTGCGTGTGTGTGTGTGTGTGTGAGACCTTTTGCTCTTTAAACCATGTCTCTCTCTCTCTCTGTTTGTGTGTGTGTGTGTGTGTGTGTGTGCTCGTGCGCGCGTGTGCGTGCATGTGTGTAAAGTATGTGTTTGTGCGTGTGCGTGTGGGCGTGTGTATGTGCGTGTGCGTGCGCGTGTGTTTGGGAAAGGAGGGGGGGGTCCGCCCTGTTTGTAGCTGTGTGTGAGTGTGTGTGCGTGCGTGTGTGTGGGTGTGTGTGTGGGGGCGGGCGAGTAGGTGGTTGGGGTACGACTGTGTGAGGGCGTGCGCACACGTATATCTGACTTTGCGTTGCTGACCGAGAGTGTGCGTACGCATGTTATCAGGGGTGGAGGGGCCGGTTGAGCGGATGTATGGTAGTGCGTATGTGTATGGGGTACTCACACTAGCACTTCCCTGGATGCATGTGGCAGCAAGGACGGTCAGTCAGATTTTTCTAGGCATCTGACCTGAATGACGTCCAGAGCTCAGTCGAAAAGTTCGAACGTGAGCATGAGCTCAACATACGTCTTCTCTCTCTGTTTCGCTCTACCCCTGGGCTCCGCTCTGCTTTTCCTTAGCAGTGTGTCTCCCTCCTGGAGCGAGATTCGAACCCTGTTCCTCTCATTCCACCGTTGCATTCACTTCCTGACCCTTGCTTCGAAAGCAAGTCGCCACTAACATTACCGTCTTGACGGACGGATCTGGGGCTAGGTCCCACTTACACGAATTAAGCGATATTGACCGTAGATAGCAAAGATCAACGGCCAGATTCTCTTAATCCGTGCAAGTGGGACCTTCGCCCTGGAGTCGAGCGCACCATCTGTTTACTACCAGTTATACGTGCGTAGCATTCAGCCATGTGGGTAGCATTCAGCCACAAGGGCTTAGCTTCCGGTCCGCTTTGCTACCGGTACCATAAGTCGGGACTTCTAGACAACGGGCCTTTCTCGGTTGGTAAGGTGTGTGTTGTAAGTACAACGAGCGAATGACGACCAACCGGACTAGCGAAGATGCACCACTGAGACCATCAAAGAAGAAGAAGGAGAAGAAGAAGAAGGAGAAGAAGAAGAAAGAGAAGAAGAAGGAGGAGAAGAACAAGATCACACACAGAATGTAAAAGTCCCGNAAGAAGAAGGAGGAGAAGAACAAGATCACACACAGAATGTAAAAGTCCCGAACGTAACTCAATTAAAAAGTCGTGACAAACAATGAGTACGTAACCGTGGCGCGATCCGACCGGTTTCGGCTGGTCGCCACACCAGCACTCTTCAGGGATCTTGTCGGTAGGGAACTGACTACAGTAGCTTGAATTCATACTCTGTGTGAAAAAGGTAGTTCCTAATGTCTGAAACGTAATCGTCTAAGTACATTGTATGTAGGGGAACTCGTCACTTTCTATGCAGTCCAGTAGACTCAACAATTTTCAGCCTGCACAACGTGGGAAGAACCCGCCAAACAGCTAACCGTAGTCCAGATTCACGTTCGAAAAACAATACCCGTCACTTCATAGGAAACATCATTACCAATAGACCGACCCTGGTTCGAGACTCGACTGAAAGACACCAACTACAGAGGGTAGCAGTAGACCTCGGAAAGTACACTAAAAAAATCCTGCAACGGCTCGAAACTCGACCAAACACTAAAGCTCTTTTTGCAATTTGTACTACGAAGGCCTATTACAGTTCAAATCATGATAAGCTGCCAACAAAGGGGCCCAATATCAACCATCTGTAATTCAAAAGAACCCATCATAGTCCATAAAAGGAACAATTGTCAACACAATGCCCAAATCGGGCCTTCCCACAGATCTTCCATAAAACCAATGACTGACAACAACTCTGCACGGGCTTTTTTCATAGGGACGTTCGAAGTACCACCTATTCCACCCGGTTAACACAAGAATCCAATGCTGCCGCAACCCGGTAAACTTCTTCGAAAAGTTGATCAAACAGTGATCAAAGAAACAGTCAGGATATCCTCGTCGCCACAACTCCACCTTCAGAGTAAACAGAAAGGGAAAATCGGTGCCGGGAATAGAGGTGAACATCCTGGCTCTGTGCAAAAATGATCCTATAACAGCCATCTTTTGCTGCTTGCTTGAGTAGGAGTGGAAGTCTTTAATACTTTGAAAAAGCGGTTTGTTCTCTCTCCAAAACCTCTGATTTTTGTGCATAGGAATGCAAGCGGCACCGCCATTTTCCTCGAAGACCTTCACTACACAACCAAGAAAATCCCAGCTTTGTCCATCATTAGTCTGCTCCAGTACCAATTGCTATCATAAGACTGAGAAAATTGTCTAATCAACCTATCACCTTCCGCGAAATCGAGCCCATTCGCCTTGTTACATACAACGAATACGGAAACATCGTCAACCAATCGACACCCAAACACTTTCGAACGAATCGTCCCAAGGAAGGATAAGAACAGAAACTCATGAAACGCACATAGTAAGCATGCTAAAGCAGGGTTAAACGACTTGCCCATTGGAATGTCGCAGTTCTGTTGAAGAATGGAACCTCCTTCTGAAATGAAAGTGTTGGATAACTCGAACTGCACAAAGTCACAGATTAGCTGAAAAGAAATGGACACCCAACCAATCTCTTTCTTCCCTTTAAGCAACTTAGCTTGCTTCCCTCTAACTGATAGCACAACACCTTTGTATCCTCTTCCCAGCCAGAAGTCGCAGACCCATCGCACTGCCTTCAGAATAGACGGATGACGTAGATTAGAGAACATTTCTTTAATATCAAACGAAGCTCCATAAAGAAAATCACCTCCTTTCAACGTTTTATTCATCTGAGAGATCATTGTCATCAGATCAGAAGTACTAGGAAGATTGAAATGACAGGAGGAGGGAAGAGACCACAGCAACTGATTGATCGCCCAAGAGATTTGCCGCCTACCAGAAGCTGAACATTTGGAGAAAGAAGGGCAAATAGGTCGCCATCGCTTGACATCCTTATGCTTTGGAATGCGGTATGCCTTCCCAATAGATCCTTTGGTATTCCATTTCGCCACAGAATCCAACTCATTTCTCGAATATCGCTCCTTGCATAGCAGAAGAACAGTCGCCTCATCCTGGTTGCTGACAGAGAAGGAAGGGTTCTCAAAGAAGAGTTTGTTCAGTCCAGATCTATAAACTAGAGGGCAGTAGATGAAAGAGTCGCCAGGGTTGTGATCCAAAGGGGAGAAAACGAGACCCTGACATCTAGATACAACGGATCGCACATTAGTAACTTGGTCAGGGAAGGATGAGTGGGAGCGTCGGTTAAAGCAACCAGACATCTCGTCATTACTGAGAAAGGTAGAAGGGAGTGCAGGCAGGGAAGAAGAAAGCGACTGAAAGGACTGGGTAATCTGTTTGCGAAGATCAGAAACAAGAATGGAGGGAGACCGGATAGGATCCAAAATGTTCCGAGAGTTAGACATGATAGGGGGAAGGAACTCAACCTCACTGACTCGAAAAGCAACATCACCATCCTGACGAGGGAACTGATCATCACAGCAAGCGCACTGCCAAGAGACAGACACCTTCCTAGCTGCCTCCCTAAAATTATGACAGACATCTCCCACGGTTTTGTTCCGACACCAAACAATATGAATCCGTCGAATCAGCAGATTTTTTCACGCCGAAGATATCGCCACCGCCCGAATAGCTTCAACACACAATTTGCGAATTTTGGACTTATTAAACAACAAATTAAAGGGGATCCGAACAACCAACCTCTGTCTTAAATGAATATTGAACCGTCAAGTAGAACAATCGGAAAGAATACACCGAAGATGAAAACGAGTTCGTTTATCCGAAAAGGAACGAATAGCGGTGTAGGCAAAAATAATCAAATTAAAACTCCAACAGTATAGAATAGAACGGGTGGAAGGATCAATTAGAAAACTGGTCAATGGTTGTTTAAACACCAATGATTTCTTCATGTACGTCACCACGGAGGAGAAAGTAATAACAACGCCTTCCTTCAACCACGACTTCGATTTTCTCAACTGCGCCGTACCATACTCACACGTGATAACAGACGAACCAAAGCAGCGCTTCAACACCTTCCAAGAATCACTAATAACAGTCTCATTCTTGCATGTAACGACACATCGATCGATGTCATCGCGCGCACAAATTCGAAGAGTCTTTAATAAACTGCTAGAAACTAAACCCGTACTGCAATGGAAAATAATCAATGACTTGCGCAAAGGCTTACCTTCATCTTGAGAAACCAGTAAGTTATTCCGTCGTTTCTCACGCAACCGTTCCCGAAGTCCTCGTCGATTCCGTCTATTTCTACGAGGCTTATCCCACGCGTTCAATGACGAAGAAAAAGAACGAATAAAAAAATTCTCACAATCCAAGAGATCATCCAGTGGACAAGCACAAATAGGGATAGGCACATAATAGCCCGCCCCACATCTTCGCATCCATTGGTATAACTTTTCATTGCATCTGCTAGCATTCACAACATCCGCACACGTCGCTCTATACACGTGCTCGCTCCATCGAGAAAACAGATTCCGAGAAGTACTTCCTACGTACGTATGCCGACACCATGGAGAAACAAGAATGTAAACAAGCGGACCATCGCCTTTCTCAAAATTGAATCCATCATCGAACAACTTATTAACATATCCAGCATATTTGTTAGCCCAAGGAATTTGTCCACAGGATCAGTTGAAGCACAATCAAACAGAAAATCACATTCAACATTCTACATCGAAGAAGATCAGAGGAGAGGGAACGAATCCGTCTACACCGTTTAGCTAATTCCCAAAGAGAAGCTACGCTTGGGAGTGAAGCTAAGACTGCGTCTCCTCATCACCTGAAGCAGTAGCGTCAATACGGTTCGCGTCCGTGTCTTCGAAAACATCCTGGACCTCTGCTACTTTGGAATTCGAATCAAGAGCGCGCGCCGCCCTTTGCACTGCGATGTGCTCCTTGGTGCGATCCAAAGTGGTGTATGTAACACCCTCCTTCGCACAAATCTCCTTAATAGCGTTCATCTTCAGTGGTTTGAGAAACTTGCGAGCATCCGCCATGAAACCTTCCCTGTCATTGGCGCGAGTAACCTCCTTGCTAGTCGACGCGATCTGCTTGCCTTTATCCTTTGGCCGTGCTGTTGCCACCTCATTCAGTTTCGTCTTCAAGTTCGTGCCTAGCGGCCGATTGCCACTCCTTGTAACATTCATACGTGCCAGTTCTTCTTTGAGCCGTTCGGCTTCCAAATCGGCAGCTAGCTTGCTTTCCTTGATCTTCTCCAATTCCTGCTCCGCCACACGTCTTCCATTGAGATCCTTGCTGCGGAGTTCCTTGAGAAAATCGACCTCCCTCCTATGTGCTTCAGCCAAATCAACAGCCTCCATCGTCCTGGGTAAAGTCGTTGCTGGAGTTTTCGCGGGTGTGCATCGCGGCTTACACCTCGCATGCTAGCTCGGGGATTCTTCAACAGCAATACAACCTCTCTTGTTGCCAGGCCGTAATGCTTCCTGCTTCCATGTCGCCGCTTCACTAGTTGCATGGTCATGTAGAAGACGAACAATAACTACTTCCTCCTCGAGTGCTGCCACCTTACGATCTGCGATCTCTTGCGAAAGTTTATGAGAGTCCTCAAGCTCACGAAGTCGTCGAGCTGTAGCCTCATCCATCACAGTTCCACAATCGGATGGGGGGTCAGCCACTTTCCTCTTCTGCAGAGACTCCACCTCGGCTTGTAACTTAGCAATCGTACTGCTGCTATCCTTATACTTCTTGGTTTCCAACACCTCACACACTTTGTCAAACCTAACATTCATCTCCTCGGCCATCCTCCTATGAAAGTCTTCTCTCTCTTTACGTTCCTCCGCACAACGATTCTCTTTCTCGATCTCTTTCTTCTTACGTTCATCTTCATCTCTCTTGGTTTTCTCCCGCTCTTCCTCAGCATCGTGACGCACCTTGATCCTTGATACAGTATCCTCCAGACAGCTAAGACGCTGATTGGTACTATACCATCCACTTCCTCGCGAATACTGGCCAGAACCGTAATTACCTGCACACTGATTAACTAAAGACTGATGAGGACCGGTCAGAAGAGGAGGATTGACGCGAACTAGAGCAGAGTTGGGATTGGATACTTGATTGCGACGAGAAAGGTGACAGAAACGAGCAAAGTGACCAAGTTGGCCACACTTATAACATTCATGTGATGGAACATTAGCAGCCATAATTGCCAGCCCCAGGGGTCGATGCCGTAGAATCAAAAATGTGAAGCCACACATTGATAGTACAACCTCTATCCCAGTTACTCCGTGCAATGAAGTGTTGTAAGTACAACGAACGAATGACGACCAACCGGACTAGCAAAGATGCACCACTGAGACCATCAAAGAAGAAGAAGAAGGAGAAGAAGAAGAAGGAGAAGAAGAAGAAAGAGAAGAAGAAGGAGGAGAAGAACAAGATCACACACAGAACTGTCTCTTATACACATCTAGATGTGTATAAGAGACAGCAACCGGACTAGCGAAGATGCACCACTGAGACCATCAAAGAAGAAGAAGGAGAAGAAGAAGAAGGAGAAGAAGAAGAAAGAGAAGAAGAAGGAGGAGAAGAACAAGATCACACACAGAATGTAAAAGTCCCGAACGTAACTCAATTAAAAAGTCGTGACAAACAATGAGTACGTAACTGTGGCGCGATCCGACCGGTTTCGGCTGGTCGCCACACCAACACTCTTCAGGGATCTTGTCGGTAGGGAACTGACTACAGTAGCTTGAATTTATACTGTGTGTGAAAACGGTAGTTCCTAATGTCTGAAACGTAATCGTCTAAGTACATTGTATGTAGAGGAACTCGTCACTTTCTATGCAGTCCAGTAGACTAAACGAATTTTCAGCCTGCACAACGCAGGAAGAACCCGCCAAACAGCTAACCGTAGTCCAGATTCACGTTCGAAAAACAATACCCATCACTTCCTAGGAAACATCATTACCTACACACCCACCCTGGTTCGAGACTCGACCGAAAGACACCAACTACGGAGGGTAGCAGTAGACCTCGAAAAGTACACTAAAAAAATCTTGCAACGGCTCGAAACCCGACCAAACACTAAAGCTATTTTTGCAATTTGTACTACGAAGGCCTATTACAGTTCAAATCATGATAAGTTGCCAACAAAGGGGCCCAATATCAACCGTGTGTAATTCAAAAGAGCCCATCATAGTTCATAAAAGGAACAATTGTCAACGCAATGCCCAAATCGGGCCTTCCCACAGAAAGAGCTTTGACCGTCTGTAAGGGCCAGATCCCACTAGCCCCTATTGTTCATTTTGACCCTCGATTACGAATATCAACAGTCAGAAATGAATAATAGGGGCTAGTGGGATCTGGCCGTAAGGCATACAATTAGCACGGCGGCAGAGCCTCCACGGTGAACGGCGGCCTTATCGGCCTACACTGAAAGGGACGTTCAGGGAGAACCTACGCTCAGAACGGGCGGGGATTCCCAAAAGGTGGAGGCTTCCGAAGGGGCCCAGACGAGGGGACTGACGCAGGCGGCAGGCAAGCCCCCTCTCTCTCCACATAGAAAAACACTAGCACAACGAAAAGGAATCAGGGCTCTCACTCCCCCTCTGAAAAGAAAAAGCAAAAATTCAATCAATCAACCAATCAATCACACACATGCACAAGCCCACGCGCGCGAGCGCACACACACACACACACACACACACACACACACACACACAAGCCCACAGGGGCACACGGGCTTACAAACAGCAACACAGGCGCCTGAACACAGTTTTCTTGTGTTTGTGTCTGTTGTCCTATTCTCTATACATTCTGAAAAGCTTCAAAAAGGGCCTTGCTGCACTACCCTTTTTTTTTTTTTTTTTTTTTTTTTTTTTACAGACTGAATTTGGAGTACATCAGGGATATTGGAAGGAAGGGGGAACCTCATCACCCTGAACCCAGCGCCAGATACCTACCGCTACACAATAGTTCCTCCCTCCCCCTACCAGCCCCAATCCCACATCATAGTGATGTAATTAGCTGACTCCCCCTTTTTTGAGATACACCTTTATTGATGCCATATTGTGACATTCTGAGCCACACGGGCCCCAGTTAGGGCCTGGTTCCAGGTAGGCAAGGTAAGCCTAAGGGGGACCACGGTTCAGATAAGGCCCAGGTAGGCCAGGGGTACGATGGTTCAGGCAGCCCTGGAATAGAGGCCCAGGCCAAACGGCCATAAGGCCAGTACCGGTCCAACATAGGACCTACCGGCGGCGCAGTTTCAGAGGCTGCCAATTTAGGCGCCAAGTCCAGTTCGAAACTGGACCGTTGATTCAGATCAATGGTCCAGGCCGGTCGGTACCAGCAGGTAGGAGGCCGGCCCAGCACTACAAAAGGCTGGGTACCAGCCTCAACGGTATGTGACGCCCAACCTCAGGCCCGACGCGACTTCCTGATCGGAGTGGGATGTGGGCCTGGAAGTGCGAAAAGGGGTGCGCCAAGGACTTTTGGGAAAGTGGGGGTGGAGTCCCAGGTCGAAACTGAGATCTCCTGTGGCAAAGTTTCAGAGGCATAGATGCAATATGGCTAAGGGGGTGAGTTACTTCCGGTCTGATGGCGGTCGGGTTCGTCCAGATGGCGTGCGCGGTGCATTCAAGGCCGTCCGATCCGTCTGTTTTGGTGGCGACGATTCGGGGAGAGGCCCGTCCGGGATGGTTGTGATCCTGATGAGTCGTACCTTTGGGTGCCGACACGTGGCGTCTGTCGTCGCGCGTTTGGGTTAGGCCTCCTAGTTTCAGGGACTCGTCGGTCGTCGCGCCGTCAACAATTTTCGCAGGGCGTGCGGGGCCAATACGGGGCGATGGAATTCCACGGTACCACCGTGAGTTGGTGATAGAGGAGGAGGAGACAGAAGGGAGGGAAATAGGTAGTGATAACGACAAAGCCGGGGGATATGAAGTATTGCGTGTTATCCGTAGTGGGAAAATCAGGGCACCTCGAGTCGTTGGTTTTGGCGCAGTGAAACTCCCTGGGGCGCAATCGATTCTCGGTTAGGCAAGGGAATTCTGGGTATCTTTGCCTAATACATTCTCTCACCCAAGGGGCGAAGTACTCCGAGTCCCAGGAGCTCGGCATCCTGTCATTGCGGGGTAGTGGAGTTCTTCCGCATACATCTAATCGGCAAGGGGGCTTTCCCGGTGTGATATCGAAAATTCCTATCCGTTTAGGTGCGTGGGGGAAGGAAAATTCCCGCCTACTCGATACCGGAGATGTCAAGTTCGTCAATGGTCGCGAATCGGCGCACGTGGATACGCCTTACATGTATCCCCGCGAGGTATTCGCCTGTTTCTGGGAGAATGAGAGCCTAATTCGTTATGGAAAATCGCAATGCGCCGTAAACAACTACCCAATAATCCAATCACTCTGTGATCCCGCAAGCAATCATTCCCGGACATGCAAGTTATCACACATCAGACATCACAACAATATTAGAAAAACAGTGGATCAAAGTGATAAGCAATACATAAATTTCTACCATGCTTATGGGTGTATCGTAATAGCAGGCAAGGGCAATGACCAGACAAAAGAAAAACAACCGACATATTATTCGTTCATCCATTTATTTGATAGAACATACAATAGCTTGGATCAGGATCAATCACAAAACAGGGGCTGAAACCGAGGCAGAGATTCCGAAAACAAAAAGGAAACGGGCAAGTCACCCCGAGCCGAGATCAAAATTTATATACAAAAGCAAAGAGGAAGATAAGACAAAGAAAATTGCAACTCCACGTCCATCTACCTCAGTTCCCTCTTCCTCTTTCTCTCTCTGCGATGCGGACAGTCCGTCGTCACGCACCAACCCACAAAGTCGTTACCCCGCTTAGTCCTCCTGCACCCGTCAGGTTCGCCCGCACGCTACAGTCCGTCGTAGCCCCACGCGTCAACTCCGCGCATTCAACACCAGCTCGTCGAGTCGCCCGACTCCCACTTTAACTCACATTTTACGTCGCTCGTGAGCCGACCCTCACTGATCGCGCTGTCGGGGCAGAAACCCTTACAAGGGTATCTGCCGGTGTTTTGACAACTCGCGGGAAGGCGCCGTTCTATCCGTAAGATGACGGGGCGTCGGCGAGCGAGAAAGGGACAAAGTGAAGATAATCCGCCACAACACGGCAAAAAATTTCATGGGTATCCCAACCCCCTCTATACATTTACATTTCTTTTCTTATCACGTATTGACCCCACGTCTGTCTTTTCTAAATTTGTTACTCAGACTCTAGGGTTGGGCACCCAAGTGGTTGTAGAAAGGGCAGTTGACGCTACAAAGACATATCGCGGTGGGGACCACCGAAGGAAGGAAGCCTTGACGATGGGGACGTCGAGGCTACCATTCCCCTTCGCTCCCACCATCAAAGCGATGCACTACGACCTAAACAAAAGGTTGCCGCGTGGCCCATCGGCCGCACAATTTAGGATCCATCGAAGGAAAAGACCAACGTTAAGAAGTACTTGAAGCACGACTGCAAACATAGGAGAAGGGGGAGATCTTAGAAGGGGGCGCTCGAGTTAAAGGCCTATCTGAAAAGACTATTGAAGAGGACCTACCCTACCGCAATCCCTATAGGGCTCAACGCCACTCCCACGCCATGTGTGCGCGCCATGCCTTTTAACTAGGCTAAGTGGGTGTGCAGGTAATATGAGAGGAAGCGGCAAAGATAAGGCACGAAGGGACCAATCATTCCCCAATTATGCGCGATAATCTAAAGAGAATGGGGTCGCGCTGCCTATCAGCCGCGCGATTCAGAGCTCGACGGTTGAAAACGGCCGCGCCTGGCAATGACCGTGAGGAGGCGTGATAATAGGCAAAGCTAAGGGCTGAAGTTAAAAATCTATCTAGGAAAAACTACCGGTAAAAGCCTAACCCCGCGCTTGCGTCATACGTACTCACCCTACTACCCGGTGGGGCTAGTCAAATAGTGTGGCGGCGCAAGGCGAGGCCGGAGGTGAGAGGAAACGGGAGCACGAAGGGAAGGTGCCTCGGAAATGCAGGCGGGGCACCTCACTTATTCCTTCAGATATCGGTGGAGCTCCTCCATATACCATGGTAGGAGCTAGCCTAGTAGGTTCGAAGGCAGGATGGCAAGTAGGAGACATATGGATCGATTCCCACTGCCTCCTACCGCTGAGCTAGCTCCCTTTTTCTTTTGAGTAGGACCGCGGAGTACGAGGGGATGACACCTCGGCAGCACTGGCGGAGGGCCACGTTTTCCAAGACAAATACAGGCGGCGGTCCTATCTACTCCGTGGTAGAAGCTAGCCCGATGGGTTTGGAGGCGGATTGACAACCGCTATACACGGGGATTGAGCCCGTGCGCCTCCGATCGCTGGGCCATCTTCGTTTAACGGGTGACAGGAAGGCAGGAATGTGCCCGATTCGAATAGAACACAGTACGAACCCCGCCGCGCAGCCTGGGAAAATCAAGCAGCCGGAAATCCGCCCGCGCAACAAACTTTCAACCCCTGCCCGATTACGGGCGGGCTTGATCTCTTGGCAACGGGGTAGAAGGACCCCGTAACCGTTGGGAGGAGGAACCTAAGGGGAAAGAAAACTCAATCAGCGTGTCTGCACGGTGGGGATTCAAACTACAGGCGGCGGCGTGAGGAGAGCGAAAAGCTCGTTAAAACGAAAACGAGGGGGGCAAAGGAAAAACGAAAACAAGGAAACAAAAAGGCAAACCAACGGGATTTTCCTTGATATAGGAGGGAAAAAAACCGCGTTAAAAAGAAACAAAAAGAAAGACAAAAATGAAAACAACGGACAAAAAAAAACAAAAATAAAAACGACAAAATGAAAAACGCCAGATGGCACGAACGTGGGGATTCCGACCCGAGGCCATAGCTGGCTCCTCCTAAAACGGAGCTCAACTTCGTTTATTCCTTCTTTGTTTTTTTTCCTTTTTTTTGTTTCTTTTAACTACCTACCACCTCTACCCCGAGGGTGCTCGTGCACCTGCGGCTACGAACCTTCCCGAGCTCCAAGGGAAGGTTCATTTTCGGTTAAGGTCGAGATGAAAACAGGCCTTGAAGGTAAGTAACGTCCATGCTACACCAGGATTCGAACCAGGGCACCTGGTTTAGCACCACGGAAGGCCGTGGCTACGTCTAGGCCAAAAGTGGTCATGATGGCCCCTCCCTTTTGCCTCGGCTGGGCCATCATAGCCGCCCTGCATCTTTCTGATCCTGGGGGTAGGGTTGAGTGTCGGGGAAAAGACACTAGCACATGGGAAAAAGACTAGAGGAATCCTGGAGGGATTCCCACCATTGAGATCAATGGATCTCGTGGATGGGAACCCACCAAAGGGAGAGGAGGACTTAGGCTGAATAAGGAACTAAGTCCAGCCTTTCCTGTGATGTACCGACACTAGGAAAAATAGCCACGTACATCAAACTTTAAAAATTCATAACTCCTACAATAATGGTCAGAAAAATACAAGAAAAACTGTTTCAGAAATGAGACAATGTTAGCCATCTCGTGAGAATCACGAGATAACTGATTGAACTAACCCTGAATACATAAAAACGAGAGAAAGGGGAATATTCAAAGTCAGTCACACTAAGTGTGCGGCTGCGGTGCGACGACGTCACACCGTCGATCTCGCAAAAATCGAGGGCCCAAGACCATCTCGAATTATTGTCTAAGGCCTAGAGTGTCGAGGCACTCTCTCTACCTCGACTATAAAAGCACACAGTGCCCAGCAGTTGCCACACAAGGAGCACGTGCTGTTGGAGTGGTCACACACTCTAAGGCATTTGTGAGTTGCGGGAGTGCTTCGGGAGTGCTGTTGGGAGTCTACTATAGGAGCTACTGGAGCAAAGAGGAGGAGGTGGAGCCACCATAGCCACAAGGTGGAGGCACCTTGCTGCCACCTTGGGTTGGTACCGGACCTGCGGCACATGTGCTAGGGGCCACTTCATTGGAGCGGGAACTCACCTCCAAGCTCAAGGGAGCGGCATTTTGGACTTAGCTTCGGCCAAGGGCCGGGTTTTATTATTTTGAGCTTGGACGTGGCCGACGTGAGGGTGCATGCTACTGGAGTAATCAGGCGGCAAGGCTACGTCGGCATGCGGAGGAGCGTTGACAGCCTTGTCGTACGTGGGCGTCAAGATAAATTTGGGGGAGTGTCGTGGGACCGCCGTTGGACCTGGTTTTGACGCCGAGGCGGTGCCTCTTTATTTTTCGGCGAGGATCTCGGTTTGCGGTGCGACAAGGTGCCGATACTGCACAACCACTTGTTGGCGGCTCGCGATGGTAGCATTATTATATTTTGTGTGGCATTCCAAGCGTGCCGTCGTGGTCCGAAGGAGGTGCCAAGTGCGGTACGTACTCAAAACAGACACCGGTACAAACTTGTGGTGGTGTGACACAAGATAATTTTTTCGCAGTGAAGACGACGCGAGTTCGTGATGCTTTGGCATGGTGGAACCCTTGGTACCGGCCCTCAGTTCCATTGGGACTACTTGGGACTACGCCGCATCGACGGTTCTTTGGATTGGGCCATGGACACCAAATTGAAGTCGCTCGGCGCTGAGGGATTTATTTTGGAGTGCGTCGGTGACTTCCATTGCTTTGGGTTTGGCGGGACCAATTTGGAACCGAAGGTACCGCTCATCGCTCGTGGGGCTTGCCAAGGCAAGCAAGGACCGCTCAATAACTGTTGAGGTTCACGGTGCTTGTGATTTTCTATTTAAGACATTTTGGAGCGTGATTGGCGTTTAAGATTCGACTTGGCTTTCTTGGGTGAGGCAGTTGGCATCAGCGAGACTTCACTCAAGGTCAGTTAATGACTCAGACCCCTCACTCCCCACGTTAAAACCACACTTTGCTTGCCCCACTTCTACTTCCTTGAATATTCAGTTGAAAAAAAAAAGGCTGGTTTGTGTGTGCTCAAACGTGAAAAGGGAAGTGTTGTCAGACCCCGGGTGTTCCTGCCTACCCTCGGAATCTGTCTTGGCTTTGTACTTTGTTGCAGGCATGTGAGCAAAAGTTTTGTATGTCCAACGAAGACTAGGGTCTTGCGGGTGTGACGCTCCACCTGTGAAATGCTCAAACGCTCCTTTGTTTTGGTTCGTAAGATCTTTGGTCGATTATGGCTCACGAAGGAGGAATCTTGTCATTAATTTTGTTTTCCCTTATTTGGTTAGGCGGTCTCCGCATTAGGAATTCAACGATATGGACCGTTCGTTATATTACTATAAAGCAACCCTCACCTATTACCCGCAACAAGAATTGTAGGATGCGGTGAAACGGGTCGACAAGTCTTCCTTATTCTTACCTTTCTTTCCTGAACTATCCGGCGCGTAGGAAATAACTCTAATAAACATGCACCTAGCAACCTCGTCTGCCTCGAGGGGGCACCACGAAAGGATGGGTAGTTTCCAATTCCCGTAGGTCTTGTAGGACTAAGTAGCGATAGGAATCGCCCTACATCCAGCCTGCGCATGCTCGACGTCATTCTATATATAGCCCAACCTCTCGTAAATTTCACGTCACTACGAGGTTCTTATGCCGCCGGTTCCTTTCTAGGACGACAACAAAAGTTAGTTCGTCGTGGCCTCCATCGCTTATCGTGTCAAACCTTGGCTAAGGAAGTGAGTCTGTCAGCCGGAGAAATGGGGGCGCGGGTAGGAGACAACACGGGTGCCGCAATGCTGCCTCGAGCAATCCGCGACGAAGCATCGGGACGGTCGCCACCATCATGCTGTTTCCGAGCAAGACGGAGGCAAGAGCGTCTGTTGTAGCCGTAGGAGGATTAAGACAAGGATGGGTGAGAGTCGGCCGCATGGTCTTCCATCCAGCGGATATCTACCCGACCGAGGTGGAGCTCAGGAAAGACCAAGAAACTCTTGAGGACCCGCCTTGGATTTACGCATTTGTGACAACGGTCATGAACTTCAAGCTGGTACTAAGCGTTGGCGTCTGCCTCCTTAGGAAGAAGCATTAGATCAACGTCGGGGTCGTCTACGACGTCGTGAACGAGACAATCCACCGCAAGTTCGAGGATGAGATCGTGGCTGTCCCTGCACATTATGCGGAACCACTACGCTCAGCAGGGAACATTCGTGTACATCGAGCATTACGATCGCATTGGTCCATATGAAGTCGGATTCCGTGTCGCGGAGAGATGTGACGATGACGCCCTCCAGCAGCAGGAGGAGAATTTGCTGAAACGTTTTCGTATTTGATATTGACTCTTGTGACACAGGATGGCTGGAGCTCGGCGCGATCTGACGATCACCAGGTATCTCTTGATTCAAGATACGATCGATGCAGACCACATCGCCTCGGCGAAGAGGATGTCGATGGTGTTCGATGGGACTCCGACTCGATGGCTTCGCTTCGTCGGGATCGTCAACAACAGACGTGGGTTTCTTCCGGAAGAGCGATCCGAGATTCGATTGAACGTGATTCGACGTCCAAATGAGTTGCAAGGGCATACATTGTATTTCCATCGTGTCTCGAACATGGAGCTTGTCTCTCGACTCACCGTTGGAGTACTCTTCAGACGATCCGGAGCGCGAATGGTGTTCCTTTGGCCTCGAAACACTTCCGCTCGACACCTTAAGCGCCTCGGCATACCTTTCTGGTCCGTCCTGTTGACATTGGCGCGACGAATGGCGGAGCTCTACAACACGAGCGACCTATGACTACGATGGCAAGGACGAGTGTGGTGGATGGCGATCAACGAGGCGTTCATCTGGTGGCATACCCGACTAGATAGACGCGCTCGGGTGACTCAGATGCTTTACGGCCACTAGGAGTCGTCCACCCTCTATAGGTCCCTCTGGAGTGAACCATCTGGGGGAGGGTAGCGGGTTAAACTCCTAGGATCGGATCATCAGGCTTGGCCCTCGAGAGGGCTAAGACATGGTAAAACTCAGTGCTGCCAACCAAAAAAACATGGTCAGCCCGCCCCTATGATTATCATTTTTCCTGTGAAGAATTTGGCTGGTGTCATGATGAGGGGTGAAGTAGGCATACAAATTTCATTCCTTTGTTTTGTATATATTTAAGATTGACAGAGGTTTGTAATTAAGCAATAACCTCTATACTAGGAGGGACGCAAGGGGCTTGGAAAAAAGGAAGTCACGGGAGAAATAATAGAGAATATCTCGGGCATATTGCTACAACACGAAGTTACTTTGGCAAATTTGATTTAGTAAGTTTTTGTCTCTGCAAATTGTGGATGTCGGCGGTATTAAGGAGGTGATCCTCTTGTCAGTTTCACGTACATCAGATCTCTAACATTTGATTTAGTAAGTTTCTGTCTCTGCAAATTGTGGATGTGGCAAATTGTGGAACATTCTTGAAAACTTTCCTTTCGATTTGTGAGATAGTAAAAACAAAGGCATATTCCCTGTCATCAGATCTCTCATATTTTCAAAAGATTGTTGTTCCGCCTTTGGGATGATCCGCTACTTGCATGCCGCATTTGTATGTCTTCGTTTGCGACCTCTATGTGCCTTGGTTGTTATGTATGCGCGCTTGGTGATGACTTCGAAATGTTTGGCCATAACGTCCGTGTGTCTTAATGAGACATCTATGTGTGATATGGTTGCTACCTTATGTGCTTGTTTGTGACGTCTAGGTGTATCTCAGTTGCTATATTCATGTGCTTGGTTGTGACTTCTGCATATTTTAATGCAATGTATGAGTGTTTTTGTTATTCCAGTACCTTTCAGGAAGGTGCCTTTATAAGAGGTTAAAAAACAGCTAGAGTTATGATCGATCAGGCGAAGTCTAACCAACCGACGTGGTCCGCAGAAGAACAACCAACTACGAAATGATCGCCTTCGTTGGGATCGATCTATATTCACCTATAAGAGTTGCCTGTACTATGGCGAAACGAGCAAAACGCCATTGGCCGGTCTACCTCTTCAATTGTATACAAGAGCTTTCGTATGTAGATCAGTAGCTCGGTAGGGATACGTCTCTAAGGATGGTGACAGCTCCTCTGGGAAGACGAGTTGTGCCTCGCGGGACCCTGACCTTTCGTAGGGGAACGCGAGAGGTACAACAGGCATTCCCGGGCAGAGTGGCAAAACCCCGTCGTTCACCTTGATGAATTTTGGAGGAAGCGTTCCGACTCTAAAAAGAAAAATATCAAACTCCTGCGTGATGCGGCTGGGAGGTCCCCATTTATGCGCGACGACGAGAGGGGGCCGTTGTGTCCAACAGGTGACGATGTTGCCGGGGATGACGACTATCTACCATTGTTATTTAACTAGGCGGTTCGATTGTGATTTGGTTTCCTCTCGAAAGGACAAGTGGCATTATCATATCAATGACCCTAGTACGACTAAGAGATTGTGAGATAATAACGGCTCAAAGTGGATGGGCTATTTCGATTAGTCAAAAGACCGCGTAATGACTTGGGCTTGTTAAAATTCTTTCCTGACTTAAGTATCTGGTTGTGATCGTTGTTCCTCCTAACACTTCACTCAAGGATGGGGAGCCCCAACCTCGCTGAAAACGATAATTTGGGCGACGAAAGGCTCAATGACATTCAGGAACTCGCGAGTCTTATCCGACAAACCACCACGCCACATGAGAAGTTTCTGAAAATCACGGTTCCTCTGTTCGATGGGAAGAATGTTACAGACTCGCTAAAAAAATATGAGTTGAATGCTCATGTGCGTCAATGGACTGAATGAAAGATGTTGGAAGTGGTCAAACGTTATATGCACGTTGATCTTGCGGAGGAAGTTAGTGAGATGGCGTGTAGGACACGAATCTGGAAAACATTTCGTGAGCGAATGTTTGAGAAATACCAGTTAGGAGACAGATTGTTGGACGTCTCTGACCTTCGTAAAGTGAGTCGGGAGAAATTGGGACGATCGAAGGGTTCCTAAAGAGGTTTGAGAAGGTAGCTAAGAGGATTGAATTTCCCGATCTCCCCGATAAGACGAAATGCATTATCTTTCTGACCAACTTCACGGAAGTCGAGCAAAGAGAATTGATGAAGGGTCTTACTACCAGGTACGACTGGGATAAGATTAAGGAGAATCTTAAGGTCGGTGACTTCGACCAAATTCTCCATAATCTCCTGCGCTGACAAAGGAAAATGCAGGAGGAGGAGTTAGTAAGTAGTGATAAGGATAAGGAGATGTTCGGGGCGATTATGGATGTTAGGATAATGATGAAAGAAATGAGGAAGGAGGGACTGTGTGGCAAGGTACTAACTATAAGACAACAAGACGGCAAGAGAAAAGAAGAAGAAGAACCTCCTTGGAAAGCGACGAAGACCGAACGAAAAGCCATGAATCAAACACGGGGAGGGCAAGGTATGAATGGAAAGCAATCCAAGAATAAGAGTGGCCATGAGAATGATAATTGTGATACTATCAACTAGCATCAGAGACCATCTCAAGATATCGAGCCCCGACAATTTCGGCCACAAGTCGGAGGAGGCCGGGGGCGTGGTCGGGGAGCTTCTGGTGGTCGCGGTTACTGTAATAGGGATTGGAATTGTAACTATTGTGCCCAAAGAGGACACAGTGTCCGGTATTCTCAGACCCTCGCTAGAGATGAGGAGGATCGGATAGAATACACAAACATCCGAGGCGAGGTGCTCGATTTCGAAGGGAACCTTATCGATTCATACATAGAAGGAGGAATGAGAAGGAAACATTTCGACGCGTGAACCGAACCATCACCTGTACTTACAGGTTGGCCTCGAAATAAGAAAGGGAGGTGCTTGAGTCAGAAGAGGCTGCGCGCCAGGTGATTTTTAGTAGGCCTTAAGTTAGTAAGGGCAAGACAAAAAAGGGAAGAGATATGCGGGAAGCTTTAAGCTCAAGAAATAATTTAGAGGCATTTGGAGGTCAAGTTATGAGATATGGTCTCGGCATGGAAATGATTTGGCCAAGCGCGCCGAATATGTTTCAGCTTTGTGGGCACGACGAGAGAAGAGGCATGGCTCCTTTGGCGGCGTCTCTGTCAGCATTACGTGCGGGGAGACCATCATCGTCCCACCTTTAGACGGCCTCTGCGGGAACGCGTTCCGTCTTGAATAGGCCCGTCCTCCGAAGAGGAACGTCACCAACGGTCCCTCAAACACAAAAAGATTAAGAAGGGGATGCAACCTCGAGTCGCGCCTGTTGTCAGTGTGAAGGTGCAATAGGAGGCGCCGGTAGTAATCGTGGAAGAAAACTTGGTTACGAAAGATGAGAAATTAAGGGCGGAGGACAGGCGTCAGACAAGGTTACGTGCCCAAAAACGAGGTCTAGATGAGAGTCAAGATAAGGAAAAGGATGAGGGAGACGAGGAAGAGCACCAAAAAAAGAAGAACCGGTACACGATTCCGATTGAGGAAGGGATAGACATTGAGAAGATGGTGGATCGGATACTTGAGAGTCATCGAGATTTGGTAACACGCAAGGAATTTTTGGCAGCCTCGCCAAAGATTCGGGAAGAGCTTAAGCAGAGACTGACTCGACGAAAGGTGATGACGGTTAAATTAGGGGAGGTGATCCCACCTGAGGCAAATTGGACTCCTGCGGGAGCAAAGATGGATTGGAGGTGTATAGTGACTGGGCACGTAATGGTCAAGATAGGTGTTTCACAACGTCTTGCGCTCGTTGACACCGGAGCGAAGAAGAACATATTAAGGGAAAAGGAGGCGCTAGAATTAGGGATTGAGATTGATTGCACTGATAATGGATTTTTTGTTGGAGTTGGAGGGTCGACGCCCTTCTGTGGAACTGCCAGTAACGTCAGTATACAGATCGACAAGGTAAAGGTACGGTCTTATTTTTACGTGTTGCCGCTGGTTGAGCATGGGGTGATGTTGAGACGGTCATTCTTATGCCGATCGGAGTCCATCATCATCAATAAGCATGATGGGACGATGTTCATAGTATTGTGTGATCCAGTGTGTGGACACTTCGAGATGATCAAGTGCTCGAACACCGGGCCTAAGAATTCAAGGAACAGGTTGAACCCTGAATCCTATAACCTTTAGGAAGCGGAACAATTGGTGAGAGAGCAAGAATCCTATGGGGAGGACGATGGGGAGGACGATGGGGAGAACCCGAGGGAGTTTTCCTTAGCTCTTCCCGATGTCTCACAGACTCAGGATTTCGTTTCAACCCACTCCGAAATCGACCGAAACCTCGTACAGACGCTAACAAAGATTGTGTCTGAAGGTGGTGACACAAAGAGTATGTTCTTAACATACCGACCTAGCATCCAATCAGTTGGTGAGGAAGGTGTGATCCCACAGGCCAAGCAAGGGTCTTTTTTAGAGGAGGGAGACTTAAAGTTTGATCAAAGCGGCGGTATAAAAAAGTGGCTGACAAAGCCAAGCCTGTCCCCGTCCTAGTCACCCACGACGAAGAAGTGAATTACAAGGAGGAGAGAGAGTGGATTAGGGCAATGAGAGAAAAAGGTGAAAGAGAGTCGTGTCGTTTAACCGACGAGAGAATTAAGGAGATGATCATTGGAGAAGAGGGTTTCCTAACAAAGGGAAAAAAAACCCTCATGATTGATGTCCTGAAGGGAGAAGACTTGGCGTATGCTTTTAATGACGATGAGAGGGGAAAATTAGACGTTGATAAAATTCCGATGATTAGAGTAAATACGGTACCGCACCAACCTTGGAATATATGGGGGTCACGCTATCCTAACCCGGATGACCATCGGAAGGTTGTAGACTACCTAGATGGAAAGATCAAGACGAAGGTAGCCGACTACTCTTATGGACCATATGCGTCA